TGCATTGTATGAAGTAAAAAAGTAACAACTACACAATTGCATTAAAAAGAATGAAATGAAATTCTTAGTGTATTCTATTTGATTAAAGAGTATCAATTCATAATACAATATACACTGGTCTCATAATGTGCTTACTGTCTAATGGTAAATTTGAGGTGTCATTACTCCTTGCTACCATGGATATCAGACTAACATTAATGGATGCTTCACAAGTATACAGACCAGCATCAGAAGTATTGAGAGAAGAGAAGTTCAAATAAAGAGAACTCTTTACATTAGATATATTCATAAGAACAAGAGGTACACTAATAACATTGTTAGCTGATCTCTTAGTCCATGTTATCACTGGTGAGACTATGAGTCTATCAACAACTGTCACTGTACAATTTAACATGTATTCTTCACCAGGTTCAGCAATACCCATAGTTACTAGATTTATCTCTACTACTGGACTTGGAGTAGCTGTAATGAGAGGAGGGAAAGAGTGAAGATAATGGAGGAAGATAAAACAAGGAGAGAGAGAGAGAGAGAGAGGAATTGGAGGAAGGAATTTAAAAAACTCAAAACCTACAAAGGCAATTTGCTACATTCATACATTCACAGAAATGTGATTTGGATCCCTACATTCTGGTAAGGCAAAAAAGACAATCAAAACTGTATTAGTTCAAGAATCAATGCCTTATCAGATTGTCTATGCACAATACATTCAAACTCACAGCCCAAAAGGTATAATAAGTACTGGCCTACTATGCACCAAAACAGAATGTAATGTCATGTACTTACCATAAACTGTAATAGAAATATTAGCACTAGCTGATGTATTTGTAAAAAACATGTAACTGTTAGGAGCAGTCACTTCAATGTTACAAGTATACATTCCACTATCATCAGCATTATCCAATGGATAGAACATTAATGTTGCATTATAATTTAATGCATCAATCATATTGAGACCTTCAGTAATAGTAGCATCAGATGAGCCCATAGGAACATTAGTACCATCACGTGTCCATTGATTAGTGACAGTCACTGGTATAGAAACCATTGGATTTAACAGTATGTCACATTTAATGAAGAATGGTGTCCCTGCATATAATGTATCATCACGTTCCTTTGATATAGTAACAAGTACTGGTGGAACTATGCATGAAAAATGAAAGTCATAAAATATAAGCATGGAATAAAAATGTAAGCAACTCATATTCTACATTTAAATTTTTTACAATACATTGAGTAAGTACAATAACTTACAATCAACAATCACACTAAAGACATCACTATCCTCTTGATAATCATAAGTAGCAGTGCTAGGATCATTGGTATTATTACAACCAGTTACATTAAACTCAGCCATACATGTATACATTCCAGCATCTTCAAACCTCACTGGATC